ACTGTGTAGATTCTGTAAAGATCGTCCCTTTGGTAGTTTATGAAGTTAATGGCTCAGAGTTTATTACTTGACGGTGTAATAAAAATCTTAGCTTCATGTAGAATTGATATCAACCATTATTTGTAAAGACAATTAAAAAAATTAAAATTAAACCCAACCCTTTACTTGATCCAAGTTCAGAATCCTAAGGAATATTAGGAAGTTACCTTTCACTTAAGTTGATTTCTATCTTAATTAAATTTACTTAAGAAATTTTCAAGGATATTCCACTGTTCTAATCATAAATCATACATAATAAAACCATCCATATTACTTATTTGTTTAGATTATGTTGAGACTGCAAACCCTGAAGAAATTCAAACCTGAGAAATACATACATATTTTTTTTATCTTTAACCATTGTGTTGACGGTGAATTGAGAAGCTCCTTCTTTTAAGAAATGTCATATCAAACATGATTTTGATGTTACTAAATGTGAAAGAATCTTGAAGCTTGTACAATGTGTATTTCTTTCTATAATTGATCAAGGACACATCCTGATGCATAATATATACTTTAAATCAATTTATTTGTTTGTATTGGTTATACAGTGTTGGAACTTTTGCTTTCTAGCTCACTATGCTGTTGTAGAGAAGATTGTGCTCAAATATGCAACATTGTTCATTTTGAAATCATAATCAATTCAATAATGCCATAGAAGAACGAGAAAAAATTTATGTTTCATTTTGTTTTTTGCATTGGTACAGAAATCAAGGAGCTCATTGAAATCTCGACAATCTTCAATTCATATGGGGAACATAGGTTCTAATGAATACCGAGGAATTGGAGAAGAAGTGCCTAAATCAGCTAAACTTCGAAAAGTCTCAATAATCCCCCTAATCTTTTTAATTTTCTATGAAGTATCCGGAGGTCCTTTTGGAATAGAGGATAGTGTTCAAGCTGCTGGTCCTCTCTTAGCAATCCTTGGATTTCTCATTTTTCCTTTCGTATGGAGCATACCCGAAGCCCTAATTACTGCAGAATTGGGCACAATGTTTCCAGAAGATGGCGGTTATGTTATTTGGGTCTCTTCAGCGTTAGGTCCTTTTTGGGGTTTTCAACAAGGTTGGATGAAATGGCTCAGTGGAGTTATAGACAACGCTCTATACCCGGTTCTCTTCCTAGACTATCTCAAATCGGAAGTCCCAGCTTTAGGTGGTGGAGCACTGAGAGCTTTAGCAGTGTTATTCCTGACCGTTGCATTAACTTATATGAACTATAGAGGCTTGACTATAGTTGGTTGGGTCGCTGTTTGTCTTGGTGTTTTCTCAATCCTCCCCTTCCTTGTTATGGGCATTGTGGCGATTCCAAATTTAGATCCTTCGAGATGGTTGGTTTTCAATTTCAAAAATGTTGATTGGGGTTTGTACTTGAACACACTCTTCTGGAATCTAAACTACTGGGATTCCATTAGTACTTTAACTGGAGAGGTTGATAACCCGGGAAAAACTCTACCAAAGGCACTATTTTATGCATTAATCTTGGTTGTTTCGGGATATTTATACCCTCTTCTGACTGGCATTGGAGCTATTCCACTCGATAGCGAATTGTGGGCTGATGGGTATTTTTCTGACATTGGAAAAATTATCGGCGGGATTTGGTTGAGTTATTGGATTCAAGGTGCATCAGCATTAGCCAATATGGGCATGTTTGTCACCGAAATGAGCAGTGACTCTTATCAACTTCTTGGAATGGCTCAACGAGGAATGCTCCCGGAGTTCTTTGCTGAGAGATCTCGCTATGGTACTCCTCTTGTGGGGATTTTATTCTCGGCCTCAGGTGTGATTCTATTATCTTGGATGAGCTTTCAAGAGATAGTTGCTGCTGAAAACTTTCTCTATTGCATTGGTATGCTTCTGGAATTTATAGCTTTTATAAAGTTAAGGATGAAGTATCCTACGGCATCTAGGCCTTATAAGGTTCCTTTGGGGACTACTGGTGGAATTTTGATGCTTATACCTCCTACATTGTTGATATTGATGGTTTTGGCTCTTGCTTCTTTCAAAGTGATGATTTTGAGCGTAGCTGCAATGCTTGTTGGATTTTTATTGCAACCTTGCTTGAAATTTGCAGAGAAAAAGAGATGGATTAGATTTTCGATAAGTTCTGATCTTCCTGATTTTAGAACAGTTGAAAGTGAGAATGATGCCGAAGCTCTGATGAACTAAGTACTTATGCCCTTCAAAAATGGTAATTTGTATTATTTTTTAGTGGGGATTATATGTCTTTTGAAATTTGCTATTGACATGTATGTAATTGATTTCCATCTCCATGGACTACTGCTTCAGGTTTAGGTGGCTTAAACAGCATGGTTGTTTCTTGCCCTACATGTTCCCATCTAAGAATGTATATAAATACAATAATAGTGACGCGTAACTATATTAAATGGGTCTTAAGTAGCATGGTTGTTTCTTAATAATGCGTAACTGTATTAAATGCGCAGCTATAACTTATTAAATGGGACTTAAGTAGCATGGTTGTTTCTTAATAATGCTCAACTGATAAAGAATAGAGGTGCAAATGGATACAGGTATACCAGTGCCTGATAAAATATGGACAGATATTAAAGATCTTGATCTTGTTCGATGTGGATATAAATGTGGATTAGATATCATGTTTTATTTTTCAATAGGAAACAAACATATATTTGAATATGAGTTTTAAAAAAAGCTGCATGAAGATACCTATGTGTGAAAAACTATATCAGTTGAATGACACTTATTTTAGCTTTGGATTTGTGAGTCTGATGTTGATTTTGGTGATCCAGGACCTAACGATATGTCTTTTGGGAGTATATGACATATTGGTGGTCTTTAATTTGAGATATTTTATTTTTACTAGGTTTTATACACGTGCAATGCACGTGGTTAAATAATAAAATTAAGTACTTTTAGTTTATTTTCTTAATTAAAAATTTGTTCCTTTGTTCTATTTTAATCGTTTTTGCTCACTTATGTCTCTATAAACTTTAGCATTGTGATTATTTCTTTTCTTTAATGTTCGTTTAAATGAGCTACACTAAATTTAAATTTTTATGTTGATAATTGAATTAATAGGAAACAAATTAAGTATTTTTAGTTTACTTTCTTATCAAAAACTTGTTCCTCGGTTCTGCTTTGATGGTTTTTGCTCACTTATGTTTCTAAACTTTAATATTGTGATTATTTACCTTCTTTAATGTTCGCTTAAATGAGCTACAACAAATTTAAATTTTCTTGTTGATAATTGAATTGACAGGAAACAAATGTAATCTAAAAACAAATGTAATCTAAGGTCAATTTAAATTATCATGTTATTTGGATGACATGTAATCAAGATTGATCTTAGAAAGTATAGTAGTAAAAGTGAAAAATATTTTAAAAATAGTGTTATAAAAGGAAGATGAATAATTAAAGCTAATAAGGTAAGATGATTTGTTAAAAATAGGCTAAAACGACACATTAGAGAATATAGAGATTGTTCCTTATCTTTGATGGACTTTAAATAAATTAAAATTAAATATTAATTCTAACTCGAGTACACTTTTATATGATGAAAGCATCCACATAAGTATATAAAAGTACTAAATCAAGCTCATGACAATCCCTTCTAAAGATTTCTAATTTACTTACAAAAATAAACTAATCTATAAAATATCCAAAAAATAGCATCTTCCATTGCTTCTATTTTATTTTTTATTGAGGTGACATCAATCTTTCTCTACCTTTATCTTTTTCGATAAAATTAGACTACACTTAGATGTTAAAAAGGAATAATAAACCTTAAATTAGAAGTTAAATTTATATAGCTTAATGAAAGAGTATCAAACAACTAATTTTTTCATTACAAAGTTTAGAAAATTTTTAGTCATTTTTTGTGATTTAAAATTTTTGAGGGTGTGTTTTGCAAATTTTAAACTTTGAGAGTGTGTTTTGAAAAATTTTAAATTTTTAGTTGGGTGCTTGTAATTTTCATGTTTCATGTGTTGGTGGTGAGTTTTTGCAACTTTAAATTTAAGAGTGTTTTTTTTAATTATTAAATTTTGGATTATGTTTTCTAAAATTCAAACTTTTACTGATGTGCTATTAATTTCTAGATTTCATATGTACTGTTTATAGGTTTTGAAATTTTAGTGTTTTTTGTGATTTTTAAATATCGAAGGAGTTTTTTAACAATTTTTATAACTTTGAGTTTATTTTTTGCAAATTTTAAAGTGTCTGATAGTAATGCTTTGAATTCATCCTTATTGTTTGCAACTTTTGAAATTTCAGAATTTTATGGTGATTTTTTACTATTCGAAAGGGTGTTTCTATAATTTTTGAAATATCGAAGGTATTAATTGCAAATTTTAAATTATTTAGAGGTTGCTATTATTTTTTAAATTTCATGTTTGTTATTTTAAGTTTTCAAACGGCTGGATGCTTTGTATAATTTTAAACTTTTGAGGGTATTTTGTGTAATTTTTGAAATACTTCGGGTTATTTTATAATATTTCATATATTATAGCACATTAACTTTTTACTTAACAAACTAATACTATCGAGACGTCTCATGTATTTTATTAATCTTATTTTTTTAATATTTTGGAGCTATAGGTAGTTCACATGGGATTAGGATATGATATAATTATGATTAGAATAGATTAAGATTTAAATTACATATATTCAAAATAATGAAGAGTAATATTGACGAATTTATTAATCTTATTTTTTTTTAAAATTGTTGAGCTGTAGGCAATTCATATGAAATGATTAGGATAGATTAAAATTTAAATTAAATATTCAAAATAGTGAAGGGTAATATTGTTCATGAAAAGATTTTTCCAAACTCATGCTTTTAAAAGGAGTATGATGATTTAGATAGATCTTAGAGCACATGGATTATATATTATTGAGTTTTAGTTGCTTTCCTCATATCTGTATGTGTGGATCTATGTTTATCTCCATCCAAACCCAAGCTGTTCGATATGTAATTCTATTTGTATGTATGACTAATAAAAAATATATAGATATAGTAAATGTCATATCAAATCATTTTCCCTTCTAACAAAGAAGCATCCTTCTGTGTAAAATGGAAATCATTTTATTGGTTACATACACCTTTTAGTACCAGGACAATGCTCATAAGTAAACATTTGTTCTATGATTTGGTATGGACAATTCACCTAGCGAGGGGATTGATAGAGAGGTCTATAATGATAGGAGACTTGTCGATAATGTTCTTTCTCTGCATATATTGGTTTTAAGATTAGACATCAGATAGAATGGATGTGTTGTCTTGAGATGAATTTAACATGTATGGATATATAGATATATGGGAGAATTCTATCACACATTGATTTTCATTGGCCTTCTGAACCGTGAGTCTGCTGAATAAATCTGAAAAAGAGTTATGGTTGAATTAAACACACATTCTCAGAAAAGATTTGTTGCTTTTTGTAAACTACACAACACGGTTCACAAACTTTTATTGGAGTTTTAGTACAGGGTCTTGCTGAAACTGCATCCTGTATATGGACATTAAATTTTCTACAGGTATTTCTGCGTTTTCAGATACGAGCTATATTGGGGTTTGTGTCTTGAATTCTCCTTTAGGTAGTGACTTTTGACTCCTTTTGAACAAGGATTCTGGTGATTTCTTATTTAACAAATTTTATTTGTGGTTTCGAGTTTTAAGTAGGATTCTAATTGTAATGCCTACAAGAGCTAGGATGTATATATGTAGTATCTAATACATCATGGTAGAGAGAGAAAATTGTGTGATTGCTTGAGTGTCTCTGGGATTTCAGAAAGAGTTTTGTAAGAGGAGATTTATTCTCAAGGTTCTCAGGCTTTTGTGAGTTAAGAGTAGCGATCCCAATTTTGGACTCTTCTCAGGTTTACGACAGTTTTCTGTTTGCTTTGAATAATCATCTTGTGTCTTTATTCTAAAATTTCCTCCACATATGTAGATCGTAACTTTGTTGATGATGCTTGTCTATACTTTATGTCTTATTTTAAGCTCCCAAAGATGGTTAATCAAGGCAATGGATAAGATAAGAGACGTAATTTCTTATGGGGAGGTACTTCTGAATCCAAATCTCTTGTGAAGTGGGAAACTGTTTGTAAATCCAAGAAGAATGGGAGTCTTTGTGTGCTTGACCTTTATGATTTTAATGCTGCTCTCTTGTCCAAATGGACATGGTAAGTTGTTAGCAGTAAGTCCCATCTTGGCTCCACTCTCTCTTCTCTACTCTCCAAGGAGAATTCCATTCTTAGTAGCACCCCTCCCACTCCATGGAGAGTTTACTCCAATGGGCATATAATCTGGCTTCCTCTAAAGCAGTCAGCGTGAGATCTCAAGGCTATTTCCATCATGGTTCATGGGTTCTGGCATTTTTGCACCCCCTTCTTCATCGAGGCACCTTAGATCAAGAAAAGCTGATAAATTACTTTGTTGGAAGTATACCTCTGCACGTCCAACTGCTTGATTTCTCAGTCAAAGGACTCAGTTTTCTGACCATATCAACCTTCGGGGGCGTTCGCAGTTGAATCATTGTAATGTACTAGTAAACAATGGATGGTACAAGTAGTCGTTTGTTCCACCATTGCTGCTCTATTTCAAGAGAGATTTGAGCTCTTTCCGTCAATGCTTTCCATCAGCTTACTGGCCAGATTCCTTCGAAGATTTTCTGTTTTCTAACGATGTTCTGTTTTCTAACGACAATTTCTCAATTGATGTTGGTGCGTTTGGAGAGCGAGAAATAACGAGATCTTTAATGGGGTTGAGCGTATTGAGCCATTAGCTAGCTCTAATATTGCACGTTCCGTTCTCTATTCTAGACTAGAAGTTCGTGTAGGAAGAGGGCTGCGGTGGTTACGCAGGTGGCTATTGGTCAGGGGGGGTCTAAGCTCTACTGGTGAGCAAGCATGAAGATGTCGTCGGTGCAAACTTTTTAAAAGCCTATGTGATGTTGTTCTACCACTTATTTATTTATTCTCCCTGGTGTTCTAGTGTGCAAGTACTACGTGAGCTGGGTGTAAGATCAGATGCTTTGTTCTCGCTCCTGTTATCTCTATTTTGCTTAATTTAGATAAGCATTGATTAAGGGCAAGTTTTAATCGAACATCTACGATATGTGTGTGATAAGTGACGACAAGGTCCTCTCGCTGTTCACGAGCCTGAAGTGTTTGATCATTTCTTTCTTTTTAATTTATGTGGGTTTTGAACAGGGCGTCTCGCCCTGTTTTTTTATATTTACAAATAAATAGATAAATAACTTTTAACAAGCCATGGCAACATTGTTACTCCCCCGGCGTTCTACAAATTTCCCTAATTTGTCCATGAAGACTATTTAGATTTTGATT